CCACATCAGCAGTTCCTGTAGTTCTGTTCACAGCCTGGGAGGGTCCCATGCTCTTTGGATGTTTGTCCGTATTGAATTTGTGTGTTTTTTATTTTTTGTTAAGTTTTTTATTTGTTTAAAATCTCTGATTGATATATATATATATTTCTTTTAATTATAAACCTGCCGCTGCTGGTGTTTACTTTAGGTCTTGTCAGATGAATGTTTCTTTCAGAAAATCTCTGTCATAGCTTCTGAGCCACCAATTATTAAGATTTTATTTTTTGATTAACGGCAACATTCAACAGTAGCACAACATCTGTAATTAGTGTAACTTGTAACATTTTACTCATGGTGTTTAAAGCAGTAATAGTAATGTGGTTTGAGTCTCATGGAGTTTTCATGTCCTACAGAATATTAACCCTGTCTCATTTTGTTATACTGTATTAACAGTAGTTTCTGAATTTTGTACTGAAAACCTATAGAGAATTGTTCTGTGTTTCATGTTTTTAAACCTTTAAATTATAGCCTGGGAACATGATCATTCTTGCCAATGAATGTATGAGGGAAGAAAAAATATGATTGATAAATCTACAATTTTCTTTTTAGTAAGAGAAATACTGTATATTATTTCTATAATTTTGTTCCTGTGAAGTGCATTGTATTTATTCCCAAGTCAATTCTGCTAAGAGACTCTTACAACAAAACTGTGTATTCTTGTATGACACTTTTTGTCATACACCAGTCCATTTCTGCAGTGAATAATGAGTCAGATTACACTTTTCTGCACACCTTCCTTGACCAAAGTGCCAAATAACTGGATGCCAGGCTAATCAGAGCCTGGTGTGATATACTGTAGTATTACTTCATTCAGGTGACAGGACATTACTTTCCAATTTATTCCTTTCAGGCCATTAATTTTAAATGAATGTGAAGACACACAGTAAAGACATAACTGACATAGCATACTAGGATACAAATTAAGTGGTGATTTAAAACTTTTACCATGCTTTTTCTGTTGTTTTTCCCAGCATTTTCTATAACAAGAAACAGTCAGTATCTTTTTTCCTTTGACATTCCTTGTCTTAACCATGAATCAAGCTTTTGCATTGTTTCACTGACATTTATTACACTTTTCTAGGATACCTTCTTTTTTAACTGCAGTAGCCTTCTTAAAGAGTACAATAGCATGTACTGTAAATATACTGATTGATTTAATTATGGCAGATTTTCTTCTTATAATCTATGTCTTTAGTCAGCCTGCCACTTTGATAGTCATAGTGCCAGAACACTTTTCTGCTAACTCCAACATGCCTCTGGCCATTACTATTGCTTTCATCTGTTTCTCAGACAAAGATGGTACATTTTCTTTGTTAGTGAAGCACTTGAGATCTTAAATCATGCCATGAAAAAAAAAGCTTAAACATTTTCTTAACTTCTAATTCACAGCAGCACCAGATTTCATACGATAAACCGTCCTAATAAAGTGGCCAGGCATTGTATGTTCAATTTATCCTAGCTTTAGCAGCCACTGACAATTCTGTATGAAAGACACTTGAGCATAGCACACCCTCCTTCTCCATCTGATTTCATGGAAAATTACCCTTTGCTCATTCCCTTCAGCCCTTGTCACTGTCTCTAATGTGCACTGATGATGAAGGTATAGAAGATTATGGACTCTCTTATTGATATTACTCAGATATTCACTCTTTTAATCTAAATGCTAACGCTTCATCTACTACCCTCGACTTAATAGCTTGTAGACAGCCTTTCCTTTTTTTTTGCCTGATGATGATAATCCTATTTATCCTTTTGTGAGATTAATTAAGATGGGTTTCTATCTTAATAAAAAAATAGCAATAAGCTTGTGTTTTTCACAGCTGCAAATTTAAATCCATTCTGATTTACTACTGACAGCTCAAATACAAAGGCAGCTGAGGGTGGGAACTTAGCTGTGAGAAGAATGAAACAAATAAAAAGCGATATTGTCAATATTCATGGAAACACCTGGTGGCAAGATGTGTAGAACTGATCTCCATAATAGCAGATGAGAGCAAAAGAGTGGAAACAGCTGAAAAGAAATTAGCATTTTATAAATATAATTATCTGCCATAAGCTTTGGGTAGTAGCGCTTATGCTGACCAAAATGCAGTGCTCCTCTGGTTCTAAATGATAGCATACTATACTGTACATTCATATGTTCTCAGACAGGGCTCCATTAGCATCTTGTCTTCTGGTTTTTATTTCTGATCTCTCAGCTTCTTTCAAGACTGGATGAGTTCCTGGGATCACTTAACTGCTAATGACCAAACACGCTAGATAGATTGAATGGCCTCCTCTAGTTTGTAAATTTTCTTTGGTAGCATATCAATAAATGGGCTAATATTTGTCTTAAATAAATCATTTTGTCTTTTGTATTTCATTTTTGTACCCATACTATGCATCACTAATTCAACAACATTTGTTCATTGTGTTGTAGTATTATTACATTATTTAGTATTATTATATTTAAAATATGTTGCTTCAAAGAGCTCAGGTTACAGGGTTTTCCTCTGCAATCAGCCCCTTACTGAGCTCTTGTGGCCATCACTTTTGTTTTTCCTAGTCTGTACAGTGGAATAAGGCTTGACCCTCACATGTAAGACACTGACCAGGGTGATAGTGATTCCCAAATGTGGATCACAGTTTAACGTTTTGAAAGTTTTTAATATTTATTTAAAAAGCAGGACCTATGCTCAATAGCGTAGAACAGGAGCATATCGTACTTGACACAGCATGGCAAGGAAACTGACAAAGCATGGTCATGCTGATTAATGCAGTTTTGGGGCTTTTATAACACTTTCTGAGCAAGATCAAGGACTTTAGTGAGAAGCTACATAATGAATATACATTGTAACACAGTGATCTTGCCAGAAGGTTGATGTAGACATCAAAATGATGCTAAATAAGCCTTGTCATTTACTTTAGACATGCATAGCTTATTACATAAGTAGTACTCGGGCAATAAATGCTTTTTTTCCACATTTCTTCTCTCTGGTCACTTGAAGGTTGAGCTTTGTCTGCTTGTTTTTCACCTCTGTGATCAAGAAATGAGAAAAATAAATATGAAAAAAAATGAAAATAGGGAGTGAAGATTTGTAATGAGTGCAGTTTTGCCTTTGTGAAGTTTTCTTTCAGGGCTAGGATGACATCTTGTATTTTAACTATGACAGTTTAGGGTGTTTTTAAAGATCTGACAGTTATTAATTATATGCAAGTAACAAGAGAGAACAAAGTGTTCTCTTTCAAAGGAATCTCTATTTAAACGTACAAAGCATATTTTAGGCATTTAAACATTTTTCTTGATTCATTTTCTTTAAAATATTTGTAGTACATATTTGTAGTAGTATTAAAGCATGACTTTAGTTTAACAGGTAGTGTAAACTTGAACTTAAGCAACAGTTGAGATGTGTATATATATATACAGTACTTTTCTATCATGTTCGGGTTCAGTTTTCCTGTCTTAATGAACACTGAGTCTTTAAGGAAGGAGTTGCCGAGAGCAACTTAGTTTGATAAGAGCTATATTAGGGCTGGGAGCTACAGAAGGCTCATGTTTAATGCAAAGGCTGCTGAAGCTCAGTATTGATTTGTAAATGTACACCCTATGTGTTTAGTCTCCTAGATTGTTGGCATTGTTTTAAAAAATACTTTGCATACCAGAGCCAAAAAGAAAGGCTTAAGAAAAAGAAATACAAAGGGACATCAGAGTTACACTGTCCTTCTCTGAATGTGGTCTAAGGCCTTTGGAGTGAGATTTGTTAAGAAATCAAAATGGGCTCCTCAGCTTGAGCTCCATGCTAATTATACATGTACAGTATATATTAAAAATATGTAACATAACAGCTTGCGTAAACCATGCAACAGTTAATGGTGACAGATTCTCATTTTTTGTATGGATATGTTTTCTGTAGTTTTGTACAGTAGTTTATCATACTCTCAGTTATATTCACGAGCCATTAAATAATCATGTCCTTGGTTTTGTTTTCCTTTGCATATCCAAAACCCACGCAACTAATTCTCTTGTCTGATTCCAACAAAATACATTTATTTTGTTTGAGCTCTCCTGTCTCCTTTTTATGTTTTGATACATGTGAATATTCCCTTTCTCATCTTTGTCTTTACTTAACTTTACATGGTTTTCTGTCAATTGTACCATCATCGTTGTGTTGTACTTGTGTCAGCATGTTTTTCCTTCTAAATTCCTTAGCAAAAAGTAAACTTGTACATCCCCTTTCACCCAGGTAAACTCAAGTATTAAAATATAAAAGTATTTCTATAAATCTTTATTAATTTACAATGACATGTTTTTTTTTTACAACTCAAAAAATGATTTGCCTTTTTCAGCAGATTTTAAAGATTAACATCTACAAGAGATCAAAATCTGATTTGAACAAGATGATCACAAACATTTTTTTAAATTCCTTCCCACTGCAATCACTCTAACATATCAAGTAAAGTATATTTTTGAAAATTGAAAATATATGGTTTGCACACAGCTTCATTCTCTGATGATTTTTTCCACTCATTTGGTTTTCTAATTCAGTAAACAGCTTCTTGTCAATTGCATTCTATATGTGGATAAAATAATACATTTAAACAAATTAAAACAGCCCAATAATCTACTTGTAATAACTGAAGTATGCATGTATTTATAGAGGTGTGTAAAACCATGGAACACCTATGAAGGACAATTTCCAGCTGAGAACTTCATAGACAGTCTTCCCAATTGCTAGCATTCAGCAGTACATAAGAAAGATGAAAAACAATCACATAATATCATCCTCATTCTTCTGTTGTAGAGCCTCTAGCAAGTCCTTAGACAAGGATCTCTGAGCGTGTGTATTTTTAAAGCATACACTTCCCGAAACAGTGGCTAGGGGGTGCATGCTCGGCTCGGCTCATAATTTATTCCTGAGCCCTCACCAATGACTTCTCCTGGTCACATGGGGTGCCTGTGTGAGTTTAAAAGTGCTTTAATCCCCTAGCCAGTGCAGAGCAAGCTGCTGGTTAAAGCACAGCAATAGCACTGATCGCACTGGCAACTTTTTGTATTGGAGCTCACGACCACAGAGAACGACAAGAGAGGAGCAAGCTAAAGCATTTTAAGTGAGTACCAGGATCTGATTTTCTTACTGCTCTGCTGGGATAGTTTCTGATCCCTAGGAAAAAAGATTTGCAGTAATTTTTCGCAAGGAGATGCTAACCTTTTTTTCCTGTATCTGGCTGCACGAGACAGAGAGAATGAGAGAGAGTTTGAAGACAGTGAATGTTTTTCATTTCTAATTAATATTGATTTCATTTTAATGCTTAATGCATGTAAAAAGATATCTATCCCTAATGTATTTTATGTGGGAAGGACTCATGCAGAGGGATGCGCGTATTTTCTTTGCATTCACAAGCATTTTTCCCACTGATGAGCCAAACAGTGCACATGTGCCGATGGATGTTGGAGGGTGTTTTGAGAGAAAATGCAATTCATGCTAGCCGAGAATGATAGAAAGGAGTTGCTTGAAAGAGAAAGGAAAAAAATGAGTTAGAGTGAAAGTGGAATGCATTGAAAGCACTGACACTGGCTGGACAATTAGCTTAGGATTCTGTTATCTCTTTCTCTTTCTCAGGCTCTGCCCTTGCATAAGGGTCACAGGAACCGGTGACCCAGTGTCAGCACTTCTGCATGGAAGCTATTATAAATTCCTGATTGATTAGTTTTAGCGGAAATCCTTTTTTTTTCTCTTTTGCTATTATTTCTCTCACTTCTCCTCTTCTTCATTCTCATCTTTGGCTGCTTCTTCTTTTCCTCCCCTTCCCTCTCTGTCTATCCCTCTTCAAGGAGGGTTTCATTTCCACGAGATTCATTAATTCCAAAAATAAAACTTGCATTCAGATCATGGGGTTGTGAGGGAAACACAGGCTTCCTTATAGGGTGCAATGTGCTTATTGGCACCCTTCTTCCTTCTCCGAAGTACTGGCACTGGACAGTTTGCCAGTCCTTTCTAAAAGCGTTTAGCCTGTAAATATAAACTTCAAAGGGAAGTCAGGACTGCAAGAAAGGCATTTGTCATTGCCTTAATGGCTCGTTGTTTCATGCCTTGTTGAAGATTATGCTTGAAAAGGTGCAGGACCCCCTTTTAAAAAAAGGAGATTTTTTCCGGCTGGAGTTTACAGCTGACAAGAAACACACCACCCCCTGGTAGCTCTTGTGGCTAGATCACCTCAATGTTATTTTTCTGCCATTTTTAACATCAAAAGTCAAAAGATACACAAGTCAGACTACCTGCGGATAACAGTATAATTGCCCCGAAGTGTTTCCAGTAAATACTTGATTTATGACGAGAACTTAACATGAAGTATGAGGATGTGGCTCTGGAAGTTTGTCAGTGCCCCGTGTATTGAGTACTAAGCTGGAAACCAACTTGTGGAGATTTTGTTTCTTCATTTAACTGTGAAAAGAAAAGCAATGTGTTTTTCAGTTGCACCTGGGTTTTGCAGGGCTGAGGGGGAAACTCTTTTAAGGTGTAAGCAAAGCTAGTGGAAGAGCATTCATCATGTCTTAAAGCTCAGTACGTTTTTTCCTTTTGTTTTTGATTTAAACAAAAAAAGAGGGTAAAATAAAACTACCATAATATTTCCCTTAGCTTACTTATTCCTTACATAAACATCACTAAACAGATGTCCGATTTCGGTTGATCACAGAAGTAAGGGGGAGCTGATGTTCCTCTCCCCTAGATACACAAACTATACAAATTGAAAGCTGGTGGTCAGAGGATTGGGAGTGCTTTCCATGATAGCTGTCCCATATAGAGCTTACAAGAATCTATTTTTATTATTGGAAAGGCCTAATAATAAAAAAGCAACAATTAAAATGGTTTTATTATTATCCTCCATGAATTTTATGAAGTCATTTTTTGCGAATAGGAATGCTTTGTCTTTTTCACATAGAACAGACACCCTTACAGCAAATTAAACATTATCTATCATAATTAAATCTTTACAACTATTGGTCAGTTCGGTCTATTTCGGCATATATGGTCTGCTTCATTTCTGCATTGTTCCATCTTATTTGCATTGTATAACTTTTTTAATGACTTGCACACTGTTCCTCTGTGAATACTTTGAAGCTGTTTTGAGACTCATTTTGATGACTTGTGTACCGTAGACATTTAAGATAGAAAATAAATGAATCTAAATTATCCTATAGGTATGAAAACAAATATTCAATTTTCAATCAGTCCTCTATAATGTAATGTATAATTGCATAGTCATTTTAAAAGGATTATGAAAGTACAATGCAGAGCAATTGATAACATTTGTACCCATCTATTTGCATGATAAGCATTTTTTTCTCAGCCATTCTATAAATAAATAAGCAATCAAGCAGTCTGAAATGTTTGAATATACAGGATACCATGAAAGATAAATGATTAAACAGCAAGCTATGTTGTCTGCAAAATTTACTGAGACACTAATGAAATGCTAACTTTTTTTAGTGCATGCTTGCTCACAGCTATATATTCAAGCACATTCTGAATGGTTTAAAGGTATTAGAAATCCTAGCCTGGCCATTTCGTTGTGAAATTATTTATTTTGAAATACAATTTGTGAAAATACATAAATAATACTGAAAACAACAGCATGATGTTTGTTCAAAGCAAAAAGGAAACTTAACTTATTTATGTCTGTACCAGGTAAAAGTTATTCAGTTAGTGAAAATGATAATAAGGAGTTTAAATCACAATAATAACATGGGTCAACATTTCAATTTGAAGGTGTTTCCTTTAGGACACAGTGCTTTGCAAACTGCAGTGGACAAAACATCTTGAATTGAAACAAATTCCTCTACAGAAGCGGGTTTCACTGATCACATACTTTGACTGAAATCCCATCTGCATAAATTGCAACTTCGCAAAGACAGATCAAAGTTGAGAAATATGTGATCTTCACATTTGAGTCTCAAGACAGACTGACATTCTGTTTTTATGTTTTTAAGTTTTAGCAGGCTGTAACTTAAAATTAAACTCTGAAAAACATTAACTTAGAATACATCAATAAGGACTGATGTACTAACTTATGATGCACTATTGAAGGAACCATTAATACTGTACAGCAGTAAAAGTTAGCTACCTGTATAAATCAATTAGTCAATCTGTTCAGCTCTCCAACCTTCTAATGTGCAAAACTTATACATGTTCTTTAACTTATTGTAGGTTTACATACTGGTTATCTTTTTTTACCACATGCTCTTTGATTAATAGGCTGGGGAATACTATTTAACTGCACAATGGATAAAATTGTTTACATCTATACGTAATTGTGTGTATACAGTATGTATGTAAATATGAATTAATTACATAGTGTATAAAAAGTGAGTGCTCCTCGGTGGTAATCTTCTGAAGTGCACAATAACCTTTTAAAAGTTGCTCAGCTTTGTTCACCTGACTTTGTTCATTCTGATAAATGAAAACTGAAAAGAGAGTGACAATCATTATAATAATTAGCATCATCTACAAAAGAATGTCTTGTAACTGAACAGTGGGGGTGCAGACTTTTTGTTGGCCACTGTGTGCTTTTAATCTATTAACTGGCATTCCTTAAACACTAATCAATGTGTGCTTTTATATTTCCATTAAAAGGAAGAGGAAAAAATAAATAAATCACACAGGCCAATTGGATGTTCCGTTTTGAAAAGCTTTACAGCTTTCTGCCTCTGCAAGCATAAGGAGAATTTCGTTGTTATAATAAAGCTTTATATTTACTTTATTTTGTCAACAAATGCTCTAATTATTAGTTGGACTTTGCCTTGAAAATCCAGGCTTATTTATAAAATGGAAGGAGATACATTTCAGTTGGAATGGGTCCGTTCTATTAAAAATGATGAGGCAGTTGCATCTACATTTTGCCAAAGTGCTCTGTCTTTGCCAAACTTTCGACCCTAATGTTTGCCTTCCATATTACACATTTTCAGAGTTGAACTGAAGCATACCGTCATAACAGTAACAAAGAACTTTGCACTTGCATTCTGCCCTTTCATGAAGCGCACTGGACTGAACACCCATTTCAGTATAAAGAGTCAATGTTCAGAGTAAATTTTAAATGGGCATGGTGTGGCACCAAGAAATGATACAAAAACTAGAGCTCATACTGTACCTTGATTGTTCAAGAACAATCTGAAATTCTAAAAGCTGAACTTCTGTTTTATACCACAGAGCTCGTATTCTTTACTATAAAAATGCAGAAGATGAAGTTAGGTTGTTGAATTCAGTTTTAACACATGATTATTATTAAGTCTTAATTTTTTAAAGAAGCATATACTGTAGCTTCCTATGTTTAATGTATTTGGAAGAATAATGATATACACTAGCTTCCTATTTAATTTGCATACACAAAATAAATGCTAAATGTGTTGTGGTGATACAAATATTTTGGTGGGAATTATAAATGGAGTATACAATATATACTGAGTGACATCAAAAATGCAAGAAATGAAGATACAGTAGGAACCAATTTCATTTGTTGTGTTTTAAATGTCTCTCGGTACGCTGTATAAAATGTCATTATAGGATTTCAGGAGGAAGAACAGGACTTTTTTATCAGTTTAAAAGTAGGTTGTTGTTGTTGTTGTTGTTGTTGTTGTTGTTTATTCTGTTGACTATGCATAAATCAACTTTACAATTAATCTTAAATGCCCTGTCCTTCCATATCTCAAACAGCCGATACAGTCTCCTAGGACCTGTAAACTCCCAGGGGCCTTTGGAGTTGATAAGTATTCACATTGAAAAGCATCAAATACCTGTGTATGTGGTAAAAAAATGCATCTGCACTATACTTGCAGTTTATCCTTCTGTCCCTCTTTTAACAGAAATATGACGCTGGGAATATATACTGTATATAATACTGTATATAATACAGGCTACTTGTTTCTACACTAGAACAGGAAATTCTAGTCTTTAAATCATAGATTTAAACACGGAGATCTGAGTGAGTGTCTTTCCTACAGTAAATAAAGTAAAAGTATTCACAAAATGCTCCATTTTCTCAGAAATTATCAAGAAAAAATATTTACAACAAAAAAACTCAACAAGACTAATTCCCCCATTCTGAATAGGAAT